TGGACGTGTGTGTGTGCACTGCGGTATGCACCGTGCTACCGGTGTTTTATGGAGCTGCTGCACACCGCCGGGCTAGGGCCTACGACGGTCAAATGTCACCCTCGTCGGCAGCACACACACACACACACACGGCTGGGCTCGGGCGGCAGAGACTGCTCCATGACAACCCCGAATCGAAGCACAGCCCGGAAGGGTAGGTTAGGCTTGAGTCAAACCATTACCGGTCATTCTCTCCGGGGGCGACCCGTAGGGGTGCGGGCGAGGCAGGGCGCCACCGTTTGGAACCGTTCCGCTAGTGATGGATGACGGACGGAGAGCCCCTAGCCGCGCCTCTCTCTCTCTCGTCTCGCCCTCATTGAGCGAAGGGTGCAACAAAGTAGCCTCCACAGGTGTGACACGTCACGTGACGCGTCACGACACTGTATGAATTGGCGGCCGCCTTCCTGGAAGGTGACGCTGCGAAACGGGACCGTCGCGTCGCCGTCGCGTCGCCGTCGTCGCGGACTTGGTCGCGGACGCCTCGGCGCTTTGCGCCCTTTCAACGAAATGTGTCGTCCGCGCCGTTTTCGCCGCCTTTTCCGCTGTCTTTTTGTTTTATTTTCGTGTGACTCAGAATGAATGACGCCTACGCCTCTCGGCCATTCGAGTCGCCGCGCCATGAATGCCGCGGAAAGTGCAAGACTAGGACGCGGTGTCTGCTTTCCGCGCTGAATCGAAGCAAACAGGCACAGGCCTAAGACCCGCCTAAAAAGACTCGAGGCTCCGTGACGGAATGTGACAAAAGTTAAGCTGCTCGTTGACTTAGGTCCGGTCTGCCACATGCTGCTCTGTGTGAGGTGTTCCAAATCGCGCACAGCACTTCAGTAAACAATCTTAGCGACCGTTCGCGCCAAAAAGACGATACTGATAATGGCCTTTCTGCTTGTTGCTCCCTCTCTCTCTGCCCTCTCCGTCCCTTCCCCTCTCTCTGTCTCTTCCTTTACGGTGCGGTGTACGATCTGATTTGGTGCGGTTCTAATTAGCGGCAGTCAGGCACTGCACCGCCTCGCGGGACTGCAGGCAGGCCGCCACTGACGCTGCCGCGTGCTGCCGCGCTGACGGAGCCCTGGAGGAGGCCGAGCAGGCCGAGCTTGTCCAGGGAGGCCCTCCAGGCTTCCAGGACCTCTAGGCTTCCAGGCCCGCCAGGCTTCTCAATCTGCGTGCGTGGCTTGACGCCCCTCGGTACTGCAGCGCTGCGCCTGCAAGCTTACGTGCTCGCACGATCAAAGGCAGCCCCTGCCCTGCGGGCTGCGTTTGGGTGGCTAACCTTTCCCTCCCGATTTCTTAACGCTTCTGCAATTTGCCGACACAGAAAACCCCCCCACACACACACACACACACATGCGCGCGCGGTCATAGGTAGGACAGCCCGTGTAGGTCCCACAGCAATCAGCTGGGCGCAGGTTTGCACTTAAAGAGTACGCCCTCCATGAAGCGGTGCTGGCTGGATTTCATTATCTCATTAACCGCATTACTGGTTTGTTCCTGGTTTTCTTTGCTTTTGTTTTTACTCTTTCTCCTTCTTCGTATCGTTTGTTGTTGTCTATTCTTTTTTCAAAATTGTAATTATTTACAGTGGGCCTCGAATCTGAATGTGTCGTCGTACTCTTCCTTTCCGCCAATGGCGGTGGGCTTCGAACCTGAATGTGTCGTCATTCCCTTCCTTTCCGCCAATGGCGGTGGCGTTGGTTCCCGCGACGCGGCGACGCACAATGGTGGCGTCCAGTTTCACCGGCGCGGCGTCGGGGTGGCGGGCCGAGGCCCCCGCGGCCCCCGGAGCCCCCGCGGCCGCGGACAGCCGGATAAGCAGGCGAAGAAGACCCCTACCGCGCGACTACCGGCGGCCGGGCGGCTGAGTCAGCGGCGCGGGCGGCGCCGTCGGGGACGCGAGGACAGCCACGTCGATGCAAGGCGAAGCAAGGCGAGGAGGTGGAGGTCGCCCAAGGCCCGAAGGCGCGCGAAAACAACATGCTTGGGTCGGGCACGTCGCGGAGTCGCAGGGCAGAGGCTGCTCCAAAACTCTCAGCGTATAGGTACATTTTCGGCGGAAGCGACTGCGTGTTGCTACGCGTCCATTCGTCGGTCCTCGTCTTCGGCTTCGCGAGCCGCAAAGGGCCCAAAAGACGCAGAGGAGCCGCACGCAAAGGGCCCAAAAGACGTGGGGGACGGCAGCCCACCGCAGCCAGCAGACTGATTGCCAGAGTCCTTTGTGTCGCTCTGTCTCTCTCGCACTCGCGGGGCGTCCCGTCTCGGTGCGAGGGAGACAGAGCGACGAAAACGACTGCTGGCCAGCGCCTTGCATAACGATGCGTCTCGCACTGCCTTGCTCGCGTCGCCCCGTCGCCCCCCAGTGACTCACAACGCGCCGGGGCTCACATTGTCCCACATGGCGAGCACAAGTACAGGCGCCGCCCAGCCCCGCGCTGCGCCACGAAATCGTGTTCACACGACCCATTTGGAATGATTTGAGGTCAAGGGGTGGGGGCGGTCCGCGACGAACTGCCACACTGACTAAGAAAAATGGAGAGGGGAGGCAACCCGAGCAGCCAGGCCGGCGCGGCGCAGCGCGGAGGAGTCAAGTCCTCGCTCACACGCGAAAAAAAGGGCCAACTGTTTGCTCATTATTTATTCGGCGACCAAGGCCGTGGAAATTCCGAAAGCGGGCCGCTCGAAAACGGAGGCAAGGGACGCTGCGGCTCACGGGCGGCCTACCCAGGGGCGTGCCAGAAGTAAACTGAGAAAAAGATCAACTCGTCTTGCGGCATTTCTCGGCTTGTCTCCTCGAGAGGTGCTGGTGCACTGTATCCAGGGGGCGGTGGTGGAAGTCCTGGAAGGGCCTGGAAGGGCCGAGGCGCATCGGTCACGGGGTCACTGGGCTGCATTATGCGATGATGAGATGTCGTCTGGACGGCTGCAGGCTGCTGCTTTGCCGTCGCACGGCCCTCGGGGGGTGCGAGGGAGACAGGGCGACGACGGGCCGCTCGGAGGCAGCCTCGGAGGCCAGCCCTAGCGCCGGCTTGGACGGCTGGGACGGCCCAGGTGACGAGCATCTGCCCCTTTGCGAGGCTCCGTTGCGTTGCGGGGTTGCGGCCGCATTGGACTGCAGGCCAGGCCTGTCCAGCAGGCCGTGCATCCAGAGCACGGCCTGAATCATGCACTTGGTCGCCACCAGCGGGTCCAGCGGGGCTGCAGTGCCAGACCCGGCCAGGGCTGCTTCGACCTGTGCCCCGCCAGTAAGAAGGAAGCTCAGAAGAGTAAAATACCCTGTTTCCATAGCTCGTGTGCTGTAAGATAAAAGTTTGTTTGGGTGCTCTGCGCTCAAGCAAAGCCAAAGCCCGCTACCGTGGGAGTGACGCGTCGATGCAAAAAGATCCTTGCCGCCGGGGCACGTTTTGAGCTGGCCATAAAATTTCGCCTACTTTTCTGACAGCGCTGGCCGAGGCGACGTCGACGGCGACGTCGTGCGGTTGGGGCCGTCTGCCTGTGGTGGAGGTCCCCGCTGTGTGTTCGTCTGCTGGCTCATCTTTTTCTCCTTGCGCGACATGAGGCGACCACATCTCCACCCGCATGGCTGGTGCACCGCGCCCCGCCCCGCCCCACCACACCGCGCCCCCAGGTGGCCTGCACTGCGGCGTCACTTTTTACCGAGGCGGCCGAGGCTGACGCGCTGAGGCGGCCGCAGCCGTCGAACCCACAGAATGAACCAACGCGGTGCCTGCGGCCGGCCGGCCAGCCTTTCGCCGAGCCTTGGGCCACCACGCCCCGCCCCGCCCCGCCCCACCTACACTGGCTGGCGAATTCGTCATTTCATTGCGCCGCTGCGCCGCTGCAACGGGGACCTGCACTGCTATGCCTGCTGCCTGCCGGCCTACACGGCGGGGCGCGCCGCGACGCGCTAATTCCAATCCAGCGACGCGGTGCGACGCGGCAGTCCCTCCTCCACGCCGTGCCGCGCCCTGCCGCGCCGCGGCGACTTGATGCGTTGCGTTAATGCGTTGCAATTACGCCGTTCTCAGACGGACATTATGACGCGTGTTCGTCGCCTTCAGTTTTTACGACCGCATCCAACAATTCATGCGCGCCGGTGTGTGTGCGTGTGTGTGTGTGTGTGTGTCGCCGTCTTGCGCGGTCGCGTCGGTCACCCACCCCCACACCATTGTCCCCGTGGTCCCCGTGGTCCACGCCCCGCGGTGCGACGGCGTGCCACGGCGTGCTACGGTGCCCAGGCGGCGGCGGTGGCGTGGTCGCGTCGCGGTTGGAGGCGGCGTGGGCGCGCCGCGGCGCCGTCCGTGCGGCCTGACTGGCGGCGCTGGCTCTATCGCGCGCCCGACGCTTATATTCGCGTGATGAAGTGTCGAAGGCCCCCGGTGGCCCCCTTCTGCCCCACTGCGTGGCCTCTGTGGCCCCTGCGGCCCCCGTGGCCCCAGCGCGGACTGTGTGCTCGCCTTGCCCAGCCGCCGAGCGCCAGAGAAGGCCCCACGCTCACGCTCCGTGGTCCAAATGCGGAGCGCGGCGCGCCTCGAGGAAACGCCCAACTCCTTGCCACCCACACCTGTATCTCTATTAGCACGGGCCCCCGCGCCACGCCCGGCCTCGTGTTCCAGATCTCTCTCTTCCCCTCTCCTCCCAGGCTCCTCTCTCCCCTTCCTGCTCCTCCTCTCACCTCCTCCTTCCTCCTCTCCTTTCTTTGCTCGCTCTCCCCTCCCCGCCTCTTCTTCTCTCCCTCTTATGCTCTCTCTCTCTCTCGTTGCGCAATTGCATTCTTTCCAGGTTGTTTGTGATGTTAATGAACTGCCATTACAGTTTGAATGCATTTGTCTTTGTGTCTCTTTCATTCGTTTTGAGAGTGGTCCGTGCCAAAAAGCTAATTTGCGTCTGTTTACTGGCTCACGTCTTTTATTTCCTTTTTATTTTTCTTCGTTTTAGGTGTGAGGGGATAGGGATGAATGAAAACTTTGGAGTAAATGAGAGAGTGGTTTATTGAAAATAGGACACTACCAGGGTTCGGGCAGTGCCAAAACACTAGCAGACAAGGGACAATTTGAGCAAACTGTGAAAAAAATAATTAAAACATGAGTAAGCTTTTATCAAGCGCAACTTAAAACATTTCATTTTATACATTATCACTTTTACATTAAAATTATAAACCTCTTTAAAAATTAATTCACAATCTGGCTTTTGGACTTTGTGTTTTGAACACGCATCAAAAGCAACAATTACTAGACAACAGTTAATTTAAAAATAAATTACAATTGGTTACACTATGTACAATGCCATCTCCAGTATTCTACATCAACAAATCTATCCTGCAGTACAGCCTCACAGCTCCTCTCACATCACCACTCACATCGTCTCCACGGATCGCTGCCTTTTGGCACTGCTTTGGGAGGAGAGCATTATTTTAGCAGGTACGGGCCAATCGCAAATGCGCATTCGTCGCAAATTGCAAATTTCTACATATTTGCGCAACAGGGAAAATTAAGGGGTGGATACATTGTTGAAGACCAACGAAAAATAAAACAGAGAGCGAGAACAGTCTCCAAACCATCACGTTAAATTAAATAAAACTCACAGACATTGGGAAAGTTTGGCGAAAAATAACATAAAAATTAGTCGCATGCTATGGGACTATTGTAAAAAAAAAACACTTCACAACTTTGAATTCTAAGTACGTGAAAGAAACTAATATGCGTTTAGAACGCGGTTACAGCATATATAAATTATAAAAAGAAAGGTAACTAACAAGATGCGATAATCGCCTTCGTACCACGTCTCCACAATTACAAAAAATTACAAAAGACGACTGCTCCACTCGGCACTTTCAGTTCAACAGCTAAGCGTTATCAAAAATAACTTCCTATAGCCTGTGGAAGTTACGACCAGCATAACCCACGCGGCCAAACATTTTATATTCACTGAGTAGAGTAACTATCAACATTCAGCAAATTAAATCATTGCACGTCACTAAAGAGAATCTGGGTGTACAAGAAATTCTACGCGGGAGAGATTTTTTTTTGGTAAGAAAACCATCTTGTACGTCAAGAATACATCGAAAGAGTCACGAGGACTACTACACAATCTAGAAATCAACACTTAAAATTTGTAACACTGGACTCCAGTTAACTAATTTGGACAATACAGTTTTGTGTTGTACGTATACATAAGCAAAATCGCACTTTGTGCTGTCAATATACTCTTACATATTTATATATGTACTACCATTTGGTCTCCAAGACTTTTAAAAGAACGAATTCTAATGCATCATAGGTTGCAGCGAATACATTTTAGCGTCAAGACAAACACATTACACGCATTGCTTTGAAAGAGCTTTTAAGTTCAACAAACAAACCAGGCTGCTACTTTGTCATGATATGCCTTCCTTCACAAGTTATCCGAATGGAATGCCAAATGAGCAAACTTAATGACAGAACAGTCTATTGAGCAAAATGCTCCGAAAATTACATTTTCTCTACACCAACACACACATATATTAAAATGACAAAGAGAATCGTCGTTTCAGAGAGTTAACACACAAATATGGTTAAGTGAACAGTACAATTGTAAAATTGGAAAAAAGGAGGGGAGTTTATACAAAAGTTACTTATGACTAATTGGGACCAAATCGTGAATCGGATTATACAGTGTCTGCTACAAATCCTTTGGTTCAATGTCTTGCATGTATGTAACACTATTACATATCCATAACATTTTAGAGACTCTACTAGTGAATATAACCCCGGATTTGTTCCCGTTCGAATCTAATTACTTGCCCGCAAGTATCACTTAAAACATAGAATTAGATCAGATTTTTAATCCTTGAGGACAATTTAGCTCAATATTACACGACTGGCCTAGATGCTCAGCGCAATGAGAACGCCCACGCTACCACAATACGAAGACTACTTAAGACATAAACACAAAGAATACTGTGGAAACACAAACGGTGTAATGGGTTGTGCGCGCACGGCTGTCTCCAATTTATACTCACGTTTACAAAACGTCAAGAGGCAAATGAGATCTTCTTACAAGAGAGCAAAACTGTCCAAGAAATAATATATTAAGTATTTCCAAATCAAAAGGTACTACAATCGAAAGCTTTGGCGTAGACAAAGCTGCATATCCAATAACTAGACTACTTTCACTGACAGGAATAAATATCGACCAAACACATTGATGCACCACTCGTGACTTTCCTGGATACACAATATATATTATGTATATATTACATTTCTATCGTCTAACAAATACAAGGACAGGGCAATAAATTAAGGGCCGCGGTGGCCGTGGAAGGGGAGCTTCCAGGCCAGTCACGAGTGGCAGAGTCACTGCAGCTCCTCACTGGGGCTAGTCGCGGTCCGCGGGGGCCGTTGGGGCCGTAGGCTGTGGGGCCGGCCGGGCCGGGCCCTTGGCCCTTGGCACTGGGCCCCAGGCCCTCACGGCGCGCGGTCATGGCACATGTGGAAAGGGTTGCCCCAAGGCACTGCCGGCCCTGCTGGCTCGGCCCAGGGCCAGTGCTCGGCCCAAGGGTTGACCCAGCGCTCCTGAGAGTACAGGGCGGCGGGGTACAACGGAGCGGGGCGCAGCACGCGGCCCCCGCAGAGCCCAGGGCCGGCCAGGCGTCCTGGGCCCGAGGCGTACGATCAATCGGCCTCGGGGTCCAGGGTGGGGCTGGCAGGCGGCGGCGTCATCGGGGACCCCAGGCCCAGGTCGAGCCCCGGCGGCGGCTCCTGGCCGGGCTCGTAGCGCGCGTGGGTGCGCATGTGGCGGGTGATCATGTCCCGGCGGCACGCGGCGTACGGGCACTGCGGGCACTTGTACGGCTTCTCGCCCGTGTGCGTGCGCTGGTGGGTGGAGAGGTGGTCAGAGCGCGAGAACACTTGGCCGCACACGCGGCACGTGTACGGCTTGAGCCCCGTATGCAGGCGCATGTGGCGCGTCAACATGTCCGAGCGCGCGAACGACCGCTTGCACACGTCGCAGAGGTACGCCTTGGAGGCCGCGTCCGCGGTGGCCGCCTTGCTCTTGTGGCGCGAGGCCATGTGCTTGGCGAGGCGGTCGTGCAGGCTGAACATCTGGCCGCAGACGGGGCACACGTACGCGACGTCGGCGCCGGGCGGCATCTCCTCCACCACGGGGGACACGTCCAGGTTGTAGCGGAGCGACACCGACTCTTTGGTGGTTGGGGAGGCCACGTCGCCCTTGACCACGGGCACGGACACACTGTTGGCGCCGCCGCGGGGCGGCAGGAAGCCGGGCGGCAGCAGCTGCAGCATGGGCGGCGTCGGGGACCCGGCGTCGTCGGGCAGCTCCAGCTTGGCCTCGCGGACTGCCTCCCGGGCCTCGCGCGCGGCCTCCCTGGCCGCCTCCCTGGCGGCCTCGCGGACCTCGCGGGGCAGGTGCAGGGGCTCGGGGGGCGAGCCGCTGGTGGAGGTGGCCGCCGAGCTGCTGCCGCTGGTGGAGCCGCAGCGCGACCCGGAGCGCGACGTCTTGACGGACAGGTCGAGCGGGCTGTCCTGCGGCGTGCTGGAGTCCGAGTCCAGGGACGCGGCCTTGGTGCGGTGCACGCTGAGCCTCGGCCGGGACGTGGGCGGGCCGGCGGGCACGAGCTGGTCGCCGCGCTCCAGCTTGGCCGCCTCCAGCCACAGCGGCAGGTCCGAGTCCGAATGGCTGCGCCGCCGGAAGATGTCGGGCAGGTACTTGTTGTGGATGTACTGCTCGAAGCTGTTGTACATCGGCGCGGCGGTGGGCGACAGCGGCGTGAGCGGCGAGATGGGTGACGAGCCGTACACGCAGTGCTGGCACGAGCACCCCGGGTACCTCGACTGCGGGCTGTGGTGGCCGTGGTGACCGTGGCCATGGTGGCCGTGGTGCGACACGGCGCTCAGCCCCGCGGGCGGGTCCGAGTCGTCCTCGTCGATGGAGGAGTCCTTGAGCCTGAGCGGGCTGAAGCTGATCTTGGGCGAGTCGGTGATGGAGGAGTGCGGCGACTTGGACGACGACGCTCCCGACGCGCCCGACATGGCGGACGCGGGGCTGAAGACGTCCTCCACCTCGTCCTCCTCGCTGATGGGCGACGCGTACCGCTCGCGGTCCACGCTGTCGAAGCGGAACACGTCGGGCCGCGGCGGGTGGTGCAGCGTGCCGCCGTCCTCGGGCTTGTGGCTCTTGAGCTCATTGTTGTTGTTGTGCAGGTGGATGTTGTTGTTGGTCACCTGGCCGGCGAGCTTGTCCACCACCTGCGAGAGCCTCTTGCGCTTCCGCTGCTTGGCCGGGTGCGGCGAGCGGCGCTGGTGGACGTTGTGGTCCTCGGCGCCGGGGTGGTTGTTGTTGCTCAGCGACAGCTTGAGGGAGGCGTGCTGCTTGAGCAGCGTGTCCGCCATCGCCATCAGCATGGGCGGGCAGCGGGGCGCCGCGGCGGGCGGAGGGCAGGGCGGCGACAGGGCGGGGCTGGCGGGGCTGGCGGCCAGTCCGTGCGACAGCGCGGGCAGCGGCAGGCTCGGCAGGGCGGGCAGGGCTCGCCGCTCATCCGCGCCGCTCCATGGCAGCCCGAACTGCAACAGACAAGACGACACCGTTAATTGCTGCAACACGTCGTCCGCGACGCCAATCAAAATTTCGGTCTTGGACGTGGACGTCTCGACGGCGATGCGGCGCGGCGGCGAGGCACGCCACCTAATGAGACTGCAGCACTAACGAGCCGCCAACGCACCGAGGCGCCGAGCCGCGCCGAGCAGGCCGGCCGATATTCGGAAACACAACGAGCGGCAGCTGGACGAGGGGCGCGTCGGACTTCCTCGCGGCCGCCTCGACGTGGCCGCGGGCCGCCGCGGACGCGGGGGACACCGCGCACCCACGGCGCGGCCAGACGAGCCGAGCCGGTCGTCGCGCCACCGCAGCGCGGGAGGAGAGATGCCTAATCATCATTAAAGCAAAGCCTGGAGCGGGGGCGGGGCGGGGGGGCCACCGGGAAGGGGAGGGCGGGGCAGACCTGCTCATATCTCACGCCGCATTACCAACACGTGAGAAGGCAGCAGCGTCGGCGCCGCGGGCAGCGGGGAAGGGGGGGGGGACGGGCAGCAGCATCTCCAGCTCCCGGCTCGGTTATTTTGCTACGGAATGCTGTAAATGTCACCGGAGTCCAGTGGGGATCCACTTGCCCTGCTCCCACAGGCCGACGCGGAACAGGAACGGGTGGGGGGGGGGGGGAGTGGAAGGGCGCAGCAGTGTGCCACCGCAGTGACCCCCGGCAAGGACGGGGAGCGGGGCCGGGGGAGGAAGGGAGGGGTAGCATTTTGACACCACCGCCATGGCGTGGCACGGCACTGGCCTCAATCTGGGAACATCATCCACGGACTTGGTCAACAGGATCACGTTCGCAAGACGAGCAAGGAACTAACGTCGCCCCTTCCCTTCCCGCCGCGCCTCGCCTCGCCTCGCAGCAGTCCCAGAGGCGCAGAAAAAAACGACAATCCATTTCTGGCGGTCCGGATTCCTGTCCAAGGCCTGTCCCTGTCGGCCGGCGCGATAATATTAAGCAACAGATTTCGAAGGGAGGGAGCAGGAGCTGGACGTAGACAGGCGGGCCGCGGGGCCGCGGCTCCGGGCGTATTGTCGTCGCGGGGCCCGGCCGCCCCGGCCGCCCGGTCCCATTGGTTCCCATACAGGAGCCCCGCTGGGTGCCCCTTCGGAGTCTTCGGCCCGGGTCTCTAATTGGCAAGCCGGAGCCCCCCGGCCCCGAGCTCTGGGCTGGCGGGGCTGGCCCCAAGCCCCGGGTACCGGCTCCGGACACCGGGCGGGCCGTATGATGGCGATCTGTCGTGCGTCCGGGGCGGGGCGGGGCGGGAGGTCAGCGACGACCTCTAATGACAGTCGCCACTTCATCAGGGTCCAGGCCGTCCAGGCCGCAGGGCCGCGCCACTTGGCTTATCAAGCCTTTCACAACCGCAGCCCGGTGGCGACGTTGCGAGGGGCGGGGCGGGGGAGGCGACAGGGAAACCAGTCCTGACTCCACACCGCAGCGCGGACGAGCCGAGCAGGCGACAGACCCGAGCGCGGCCGAGGCCCCCGAAAGATGGCCGGTCACTGCGTGCACCTCGCCGAGCAGGCCGAGCAGGCCCCCGGCTCGGCCACGCACGTTCAGCAAACACTGTGCCGTCGTGCAACACTGCTGCGGTCACGCCGGCAGCCAGCGCCGCGCCCCGGCTCGGCTCCGCCCCGCGGGGCCTCCGCGACGTCCCCGCACGCCCCGGCTGCGCTCGGCCGGCTCGGCGCTCGGCTCGTCCCGGCAGGGCCTCTCTACTCCAACCCAACCGCACGGAGATCATAAAAAGCAGTATCAAGCTCACCACACATTCACTCACACACGCATGCACGCACACGGAGGAACGCCGCCGCCGTCCCGCCATGCCGGGCCGCGCCGTCGCGGGGGAGGCGGGGGAAGGGAGATGACGCGGGGAAAACGAGAGGGAACCGAGAGAGGAGAGAGAAGATATCGATGACAAGACCACGGACGGAGCGACGAAGAAGACCGAGGCATGCAGGGAAAGGGGGAGGGGGCCGCCGGGCGTACAGTAGTGCCGCAAGGACGAGCACGCCGGCCGGCCGGCCTGGCCGAAGGCTGCTGGCAGCGCTGGCGGCCAACCTGCTCATCACCGCCTTCATCAAGGACGGCGACGGGGGGCCGCGGACCGCCACCACAGCGCCCCAGCGCGTCGGCACGGCGATAGTGTCGCGTTTTGGAATTCGAAACCTCGACGACAGGGTGACTTTGGCCGTGTGTGTGTGTGATCGTGTGTGTGTGTGTGTGAAGGGCGGAACTCGAGGAGGGCGTTGCGAGCCCTAATTAGAACCAAGGACGCGCGCACCCGGCCAGCCCAGCCCGGCCGCCCCGGGCCAGTGGGACCAACCACCAGGGCGGCCGCGGCAACCCTTTGCCCCCGGCGACAGAGATTCGGCCGACGCGAACCAAAAGCGCGGAGGGACGCCACGGACACAGCTCAGGCTGCGCGCTGCCGCAGAGCGTCTCTGCAGAGAGAAGAAAAGAGACGGCGCCCAGCTGTGGCCTTATGGGCTGCAGGGCTGCAGGGCGGTACGGGGGGATGCGGGTCCGGGCTGCCAGGCTGGCTGCCGGGCTGCCTGGCTGCAGGCGCGTGAAACCGCATCATCCGGGGAAGGAGGCGAGGGGTGGGGGGGTAGATGGCTCCCGCAGGGGAGACGACACACAAAGGGGGGTGGCGGGGGTGGCGGCGCCGCCCCGGCGGCCCTAGCACTACGTGGCACTACATTCTCCAAATTAAGAAATGCGACACGCCGGCTGCAGAGCTGCAGCACGGCCCGGCCCATGTAATCTCCCGTGAAAGGGTGCAGCGGGGTGGCGGCGCGGCCGGGCGCAGTACAGGTAGGGCCTGGGGCGGCCTGGCCGAGGGCCTAGGGCAGGGCCGTGCGGTTTAATAAGCGGCCAGGGTCGTGCGCTTCGTGGCACTTGGTGGCAGGGCGTGGCGCCCAGGGCCGGACGGGCGCTATTACAACGGGGAGGCACTCGACGGCCTCGGAGGCCTCGACGAGGAGGGCGTCCATCCAAGCGGCCGCGGACGCAGAGGACGCCGTCAAGCAGCCCTTTTCCGCGGCAGGACCATCCACCACGGACGGGTACTATACAGTGTGCGGCAGAGCGGCGAGTCTGGGGGGGCCTTTCCGCCACCCGCACCAAGCCCCCCCCCCTTCCCCTTTCCAGCATCGCACCCGCAGCAGCAATGGCTTGCACCCGGCCAGGCAAGCTCCGGGCAAGCCCTGCGGGGCCCTGCGGGGTCGGCCGGCATAACCGTAAACATCACGCAGAAAAAGGGGTTTGTGCGCGCGCCTGGCTGTGTGTGTGTGATACTGCAGTGCAGGCGCAGGGCCTCGCACAGGGCGCAGTACACCGTCGCCGCCCCCACGCCACGGCGTGCCACCCCCTCCCTCCCCTTCCTCGGGCAATGCCGGCGCTGGCTCGCTCGGCTCCGCACGTTGTAACGACCCCCATTGCGAAAATTCCTTATCATTCTGGCAACCTGACTACTGCAGTGGCGTGGTGCAGGGCGTGCAGGGCGCGCGGGACTGCAGGGCGTGTCGCCCCCGTGCGCCAGCCTCCCCGCACCACGCACAACTAGTCCACTTTACAGCAGGTCAGCCCTTGGCCGCAGCCCTGCGGCATGCAACTCAAATTGGACAACGCGCCGCGCCTTGCTGCGCCTTGCTGTGGCCGCCACGCCGCGTGGCCCTGCGTCGCCCTGCCTGACGCAGACCTGTTGGCCCAGCAGCGGAGCACCGCGATGAGGGGACGTCCAAGACCGGACAGACGAGGCGGTGGAGCGGACAGAGCAGCCAAACTAGACGGAAGGACAGACATGCTCCATGAATGAAAAGAAAGGAAAGACAGAACCACCACGATTTCGTGAAATCCCACTGGTTTCCCATCCACTTGTCGCACCGCTGTTTGTTCGTCGAGGGGGCGGGGCACACGAGTCGCACAGGCCGCGAGACACTGCGAGGCGGCGCCGCCGGCACAGCCGCCGCTAATCAGATTTACAAGGGTAAAGTCGTGCGGGCGGCGAGGCGCGCTGGAGGTCCAGCAGGCCGCCAAGCAGGCCGCTCGGGGGCACGGCGCCGACACGGCGCGGCCGGGCACGCCGCGCTCGTTGCACAATGCCTACGTCGCTCCTCATTATGGGACGCAAATTAGGGCGGGACGGGGCGGCGCACTAGCCAAAGAGCAATTAAATGCCGAGCGAAAACGAGCGTCGTTTTACACACACTGCCAGAGCGCGTGCGCACGGCCCTTTGCGGGGCCCAGGCGCGGCCCCGCGGCGGCCTCGTGTCTCCGGCGGCGCGGCTCGCGCTGCGTCAACGTGGTCAACGGTAGCGCACGACGCGCCGCGCGCCCCGCCCTCGCCGCCGGCCGATATGTATCACCGATCGCTTCGCCTCGCCCGCCGACCCGCATTCGACCCGCCCAGACACCTGTTGGGACCGGGGCGCGCCGGGGCGCGCCGGGGCGGCGATAGCCATCGCGGAGGCCTCGCCCGACCCCGCCCCGCCACAAAGCCCACACGTTAATAACCGCCGATTTCGCGGTAATCAGGGCCGTGTACTTAGCGCGGGCGGCGCGGCGCGGGGCGAGGGACCGTCGCGTCGACGCGAACCTCGCGCCGCGCCGCCAACAACAAGACGGCCCCGACGACGCACATTCCGCGCCGTTCCGCGCCGCGCGGCCCAAATAAAAACTAAATGAAAACGTTGAGGCGTTTTTGCAGCAGCGATTCCCTGCAGGTGCACCGCGGCCACGGCGGCGGGGGCCTTGGCGGGGGCGGCGCGCGGAGGGGGAGGGGGGAGGAACCAGCTCGCCGCGGGCGCTGGGTGGGGCCCGCACGGCCCGCACCATGCAGCCTCGGACGGCGAGACGGCCGGCCGGACGGGACGGGGCGACGACCAGAAGCCGCCTATAAGGCCATCCGGTAGGGACAGGTCAGGCCCGACTCGGCCCTGCCGGCCCTGCCTGCCCTGCCCGCGCCACTCAAATTGAATCCACGCCTCACCTACTACCCACACACTCGCACGCACGCACACACTTGCAGCGCGCCGCGACGGGGGAGAACAAATGTCTGGCTGAGCACGAGAGATGTTTGCGCGACGAACGATACCAGTTTTCATACCGGCTAATGGGTGCGAGCACGCAATGTTGGGCCCCCGCCGCCCCGCCCCGCCGCGCCCCGCGCAGCCACGCGTACACGCCTCATGGCAGGGTGCCACTATTAGGTCGACAAAACCCGGGCGGCCTCCAGCAAACCACTACCACCTCCACCACCTGCACCAACCTGTCGCCGCGGAGCGCGCAGCGGCGGACAGAAGGCCGCCGCCACCGCAGCACCGCAGCATTTTCGTCCATTTCCAACTAATTCCGCGCCCAGAGCACGGAGAGAAAGAGAGGGAGGGAGGTGGAGGGGGAGGGGGAGGGAGAGAGAGAGAGAGAGAGAGAGAAAGAGGTGCGCGGGGCGGCTCGCCGCAGGCCACAAACAAAGTGGCAAAGTCGCTTTTATAAAAAGTGAGATGCATACAGGTGGAAGGGCGACAGGGGCGACAGGCGTGACAGACTCGACGCCCACTCGCGGGCTTATCAGGCCGGCCGGCCGTGCGCCCCCTTGCGTGTCGCTCGAGGCTCGAGCACGCCGTCAACCCCCAGCGAGACCTCCCGGAGCACCCCGCCACCCACCGCCACTGCCCTTTCATTATTTCAAATTCATTTTCTTTATTTTCGTCGGCAAGCGGCGGGGGCCGCGGGCCGCGAGCAGCGTCGATCTCAGGGGGTTCCAATCTCCCCGCGCGGCGCTGGGGCGGGGCGGGGCGGGGCGGGGCGGGGCGGGGCCGTCGCTTGCCGTAATTAGCGGGCGGGCTACGCCGGGGCTACGCCGGCACCGCACGCACGCGCACCGCGGCCGTCCAGCGCGGCGCGCCTCTCTCCAAATCCTAGACGTCCTAGACTCGAGACGCGACAGGAGCGGACGCACAGCCAGATTTATGGCTTCGGCGCGCGGACCCCTCTCCCCCTCCTCATCCGAAAATCCCACACAGACAGCCCGACGTCTCGACGTCTCACTCACTCCCTTCTCCAGCGAGGGATCGGCGCGACAGAGCGGCCGCTTCAGACCGCCTCGTCCGATCCAACCGCGCCAACTGAATCAAAGCTGCGCGGGAAAGAGAGGCTCGCGGAACGACGAATTTCAACAGAAAAGCGGCCTCTTGGCGGCGCGTGATGGACACGCGGGGTGGGAGGACAGCGATAAGCCCCAAGGCCACGCACCGCCCGCACGGGCGTGGCGTCACCGATCCACCGTAAAACATTCAAACATCAAAAGCCTGCCGTGCTCACGACAGCCGGCCCAGCGACCGCGCGCGCCAGCTACTCAAAAATTGACGAGCCCTTAGAGCAGTGTTTTCCCTCCGCCTCCCGGCCGCGGGGCGGGGCGGCCGAGGTCAAGGCCTGTTTGCATTCCATTCTGCTGGCAAAATATGTTGTCACAGTTCCCACGACCCCGCATACGAAAGCGCGAGGGAGGGGCTCAAAGATTGGCGAGTCTAGCCTCGCGCGTGGCTCGCCGGCAAAGACACTCACCTCGTAGCGGACACCCATGTGAGCAGAGCCGGGGCCGGGGGGCGGCCAGTGCGGCCAGGATGGGGGAGGCTGGTGCAGGGCTGCCAGTGGGCCTGCGGACGCCTGCAACAAAGAAAACGAGTTAGTCTCGCGGTGGAGCAGCGAGGCGTTTCCCTCTCTCGCGGAGGTGGGCCGCGTTATCAGCGGCGCCTCGAGAGCGAGAGAGGGGAGAGAGCGGCGCCCGGGGCAGCCGCCCGAGCCGCCACAAGGTCGCCGTCGTCCGGCAGCCAATGAGACCGCGGCGTCGGCCGGGCGTCGCGGCGCCAGACGCCTTCGCGCGGGGATTGGCCGGGCAGGGCGGGCGGTACCGCGAGCCCGCCGTGCTGCCGTGCCCGGGCCTACCCGAGCGTGGCGGCGGCGCTGCACTGGTAGTGGGTGCGCCATTGTCGGCGAGCGGGCCGCCACGCCGCGGGGCACGGCGTGGCACGGCACGGCACGGCCCCCACCGAGCCGCTCCCAGGTCCCAGGCGCCGCGCCGCGCCCACCGTGTGCCCGACATGCCGAAATGACTTACTACGTTCCGCGAAGCCACTTTTAATCGGGCCGCTGCCCCGCCGCACCGCCACAATGCCTCGCCGTGCCGCCGCGCCACCGTCATTTAGGGCCGCTTTTTAGAGCGCAGCCGGTCCGGGCCAGCACCGCCAGCGCCGCCAGCGGGCTGCAGCGATGCAGTCTTTTCTGTGAAATACGAAATGGGTCCGGCATTCCTCGCGACGCAGCGACGCAGCCCTCGCCCCCCCCCCCCCTCCCCCACGCCCCCGACCAAACTCGGGCTGCGACCGCATTTTCAATCCCAGATTCGAGGCCCGCCGACCGTCGCCGTCCCTTCCGTTGCGAGCAGCGCTTTCCGCGACAAGCCGACGAGCATGCATCGCGTGCGGCTTGATTGCTTTTCTCGCTAAACGGCGGGGCGGGGCGGGGCGAGGCGAGGCGGGGCGGGGCGGGGCGGGGCGGGGCGGGGCGGGGCGGGGCGGGGCGTTCACAGCCAGCAGCTCCGGTGAGCAGCAAGTGCGTGGCACTCCCCCTCCTCCACGCCTCCACCCGCCGCGGCAGCACCAGACTGCTGCTGCTGGAATGAAGGCGAACTGCATCAGCTTCTAGAGTCTTTATTTTGTTTTGGCGGTGCGGCGCGCGGTGCGGCGCGGTGCGGCGTGGTCAGGGGGTCCCGCGGGAGGAGGGGGCGTCCCGGCGGCCCGGCGGTGGACGAGCAGCTCGCCGAGACGCTCCTCGCTGAATTCCGATGGCCAAGTCGGAGTCGGAGCCGAGCCGGCCGGCCGGGCCGCTGCAGCCTTTGCCGCGCCGCGCCGCGGATGCTGCACTGCTTCGTCGCTCCGTCTCCCTCGCACTCAGGGGCGTCCCGCGCAGGCGCGAGAGAGACAGCGACGAAAACGACTCCGTCCGCAGGACACGGGAACAGGTCGGCGCGGTCAACACCAGTACCGAACAATCACAACATTTGCCGAATGCCTGCACCTTGCACCGCCCGGGCTGCCCGTCAGCCGCGCGGGCACACGCACACTAATTGGCCCCACACACACATTTACATACGCACACACACACACACACACATCGGGCGACGGGCCGCCGCCGAACCTGCGCGCGTCAAGGCGGTTTACATCTCACGGATCACGAGACGACCGGACCGGCACCTGTCTAGACCATGCGCCGCAAGCCGAGCCCCGCCCCGCCACTCTAGCAGTGCCACGCCGCCGCCGGCCAGTGATTGACACGAGGACCGTTCAACTCCCCCCCCTCAATCGCGACGGCGATAGCAACTACTCACACCTACTCGCTAAAAGAGGAAACGTTGCTCGGGAAACGTCCGTCTGCCCCGTCCACTCGTCTCCGCCCCCGCCGAGCCTCCCGCCTGGAGCCAATGCAACGCATCGTCTCTGTCGCACTCCATTCCGCGCAGGAGCGAGAGAGACAGAGCGACCAAACGACGCGCCAATACCACGCCCGCGGCGTGTTGAGCAGTGTGCACACCGCGGCCTGTGCGAGGGTCGCATTTGGCTCGGCGCGAACAGTGAGAATAGCATTGAGGGGCACGGCGTTGCGAGGGGCAGCAGAGAAGCACCACCCAGGCGGGGATAATGAATGGCCAATCGACGAGGTGGCGATGCAAGTCCCGAGGCGGCCCGGCCGACTGCCCAACACGTTCACTGCTGCTCCCTTTTTTTCCCGAATCCATTTTAAGTTTTTTCAGAGTTACACAGCGCGCCACTCGGCACACGGGACGAAGCCTTTCTCCACCACCAATCACTTTTCCGGGCGGCCCAGGCCGAGGCGCAGGCCGCGAGGCAAGGCGAGGGCTTTCGCACCTAGCACTCTTGTTTGAGCTTCGAGCGCCCGTTTCTTTCACTGGCTGCTTTAGGGAACCCAGAGAGCTGCTGCCGGTTGCGCGAGTGCCGGGCCGGCCAGGCGAGCCGCAGAGGGCCAGAAGACCGGTGGCGGCGGCCAAAAATTCTAGACACGTTTTGAGCTCCAACGTCGCTAAATGGGACTCGAAAAGAACGTGTGACCCCTCCAATGGATTCCTCTCCGAACGAGGAATCCATTGGTGGGGTCACACGCTCAGTTAGAGTCCCGTTCAGCGACTCTGAAGCTACTCGTGTCGAGTTTTGGCCGCCGACGCCTGTCTTCTGGCCCACTGTGCAGGCGTCCGCGTCGCGGCGGTGGCGACGAAGGCCACCATCGCGGCCGCCGCATCGGCGGAGACAGGGCCACCCGAGTCTCGGCGCGCAGCACATTCGGTGAGGTAAAATAATTATCACGCCGTCGCCCAGATGGCAGGGTGGAGATTGCCTGGATTTGCATTCGCGTGGCAGCGCGGCCGGCCAGCCAGCACTAGAGAAATCTTACCTTGTCGCCGGCCGTCCCTCGGCCGTCCCTCGGCCGTCCCCGCTCGCAAAATGTACCCCAACAACGGCCTATCTGTCTCGACCATCGGCTGCCCGCGACAGATAAGCGCCAACAGAGCGAACGGGGCGCGTCGGGCGAGCGTGCGAGCGCCGCATAAGTCTCACGCATGAGCCGCCCCGCCCCGCCCCGCCCCGCCCCGCCGGCCACTGCCCTCGGCCCCACGGCCCCCACTAAATCCCCGGGTAATTTGACCCAATCCGTGCTCCTTTAGTTTTTGGGCGGGCCGGACCGCCGTCACCCCGTCCTGTCCGGCCGGCCGGCCGGACCCGGCGCGCACAGGGCCCGCTATCAAAGTCGACGGGGCGTTTCGAAACTTTGGAAACGCGACGGCATCGCAACCTGTGGCCCGGTCAGGCCGGGGACGCCAATTCACAGTGGCGGCAGCGCCGGGCCCGAAAAGCACCTCGCCGCCGTCGCGCCCCAAGGCCACGCGTGCAACACGAACCCGCCAACCCGGCGGCCCGTGGCGTGCGCCGTGCCACGGCGTGCGCGCCCAGCCCGCCACCCTCCGCACGACCGCCGCGCGCACGCCCCCGCAGACATTCCCGCCAAAATGAGTTACGCGCCCCGGCCACGCAGAGCGCGCCTCCTGCCTTGGAGAGCTCCGTCTCACACTCTGTCGTAGGGGTGCGAGAGAGACAGTGCTGGCCAGTGTGTCGAGCGGCCGAACACGGCGTCGTGCACCTCGTCGCGCACCTCGTCGCGCACCCTCCCGGTTACCTGCTCATTACCGGCCGATTCACTAATTAACACCTTAATCACCGGCCGGGCCGCGGCGCTAAGTGGCTCCGTCCCACCTCGCCCCGCCCCGCCCCACCCCGCCCCGCCAAAATCGATCCCGGGCGTCCTTCCCCGCGACACGAAGGACGCCCGGCAGCGCCACACGGAACAGCCACAGCGGCGGCGCGGGTTCAAGTCCCGGCACTGGAGCCGGGCGGAGCGCCTGCAGACGCGAGGGTAGGCAACACGACGACACGCCAGCGCGGCGGGGCTGCCTACCCTCCGGGCGCCCCAGGCCACTCCGCGCCGCAGTGCCGCGCAGTGCGCATTGCGGGCCGACACACACTCACACACACACATACACTATCACACGAGACGAGATGAGAAAACTGTGTGCGTTAGTTATTGGTTCCGCGCCACCCGCACCGCCACCGCTATAAACCAAGCTGCGGGGCCGCAAGCGTCTCCCTCGCACCGCTGCGGAACGCGCCTCGAGTGCGAGAGCCGCGTCGAGAATCAGCCCGCCGGCCGCACGGCGCGCAGCGCACGGTGGCTGGAATGCAGACTCGCGATCTGTTTGCCTTGGCCAGTTAGCACCGGCCGGTGAATTGGTGTGAGTGCCTGCGCTGCGCTTGGGCTGTCTCCCCGCCCGCCTGCCTGCGCCCACGGCGTGTGGGTGTGTGGGTGAGCAGGGACACGTCCCTCGCCCGACGCGCCCGCCGGTGACGGATGGCCCCTCCGCCTTATCAATCAACCTGATCTCCACTCTCCCGGCAGCGAAGCAGCGAACTAGAATCTGTAATATGCCTCCACTCCGCCGCCGCCGCCGCCGCCGCCGCTGCCGCCGTCGGCGTGGTCGTGGTCGAGGCCCCCGAGGTCCGAGTAAACGAGGAGGCGGGGGAAGGGGAGGCGTAGCAGGCGCCCCACAGGGCCTCCACGCCGAGCTGGCCGCTCGCTGGCCGGAGCCCCGTCGGCGACGCGACGGCATTTGTTTTATCAGCGCTTCAATTTTTTCGTGAAATGAAGTGAGTATATTTTCCCGGCGTCGTCCCGCGCGCCGCGTGTGGTGTGGGACCTGTCAGCCGCCCCACCCTCCCCCTTCCCCAGGGGCCCCCCAGGGGCGCCCACCCACCCGCTCGGCGCGGTGCTGGCGCGCTCTGGAGCCGGGCAGCCGGGCCGAGGACGCACCAACGAACGCCACCCTATCTGGCGCGCCGCATCTCGGCTTCACAAATCAACGCTGCCATATGTAAAACCAGCGAGGGGCGCTGTCGCCTGGAGTCCCCGGCCTGGCCGGCCGAGCGAGGGACAGTCCCGACAAAAACCCTTTGGCCTTCGACGCGCGGCCAACAGGTGCACGGCCTGCAAGAGCGCGCCGCGAGTCCCTCCCTACCTGTTGCGCGGGGCGCCAAATAGTGACC